GCAGAACCCAGGTGTTCCCTAGTGGAACTCCTAGTTTAGGATGATACCTCTTTTGGCGCATCAAGTCTTTCCAGCAACTCCCCGCAAAGCATTGCAAGCAATAGGCATTTTGGTTGATGAGGGAAACTGAGAAACTCAGGTCACACAGCCAGAAATCCAAACAGCTTTGATTTGAAATCAGACCTGCGTTCTTTCTGCTAGGACAGACTACTGCCTTGGGGATACCCTACGAGAACGCCAGCCCCAACTGTGTTCCCCTATTCTGGGTAGCATCCAAGACTTCAAGCTTCAGACCTAAGGTTGTGCCTGCATGATGTGCCTCTGGGAGGAGTGGCCCAGACCCCAGCCCAGCACGTGGCACCACCCCAGGAGCAGCCAAAGGCTGGCTTCAGGCCGAGGACCCTGCTGGGTGGTCCCTCACGGACTGCAAAGCTGCGCTGCACCCCCTCCCGTCAGCGCATTCCTGCCTCTCCTGCCCCTCCCCCGGCTCTCGGGCCTCCCAGCCCCCTCCCGCGCTGGCCCAGCCTGTGTCTGAATCTGCTTCTGATTCTGGCTGCCGGGATAAGGCCCCCTCCCCTCCTTCCTTCCCAGGCCGAGCAGCTCCGCCCCCCGGCTAGGACCAGGCTCGCGCCTGCTGAGCCCCCCACCCACTTCTGGCACAGCTCCTCCGCCCTTGCAGCAGCCAGGAGGAGGCGGCAGCCCCGGCGCCCCAGGCCCCGCCCGCCCAGAGCCCTTCCCGGGAGGCCGGGAGACCTGCTCCTCCTGGCCCTCCGTGGGTGAGTGCTGGCGGCCGGCGGCGGGTGGGGCCTCCGCTGGCGGAGGCACCGGGAGCGGGGGCGACGCCTGTCAACGCTCCAGGCCTAGCAGGAGGACTCGCCAACATCCCTGCTGCTGTGTTTGGCCCCGGGCGTGCCCGTGGCTGCTCCCACTTCTGGGCCTGTGCTGGGGCCGCCCGGGGGCTCTGCTATCTTGGCACTGCAGATCCGGCAGGCAGAGTCTCGGACTAGACTCTCTCTCCTCGAGGGCAGAATCGTTGGGCGGAAGCTGGCTGGTCACCACAGCGGCCACGGCCATGCCCACCTGGCCCTGGGGGCTGCTGCTGACCGCAGGCACGCTCTCCGCCTCACTGAGCCCAGGGCTGCCGGCCACCGCCGACCCCTGCTATGATGAGGCGGGTGAACCCCGCTGTTGTATTCCGGGCCTAGTGAACGCTGCTCTGGGCCGAGAGGTGCTGGCGTCCAGCACGTGCGGGAGGCCGGCCAATCGCCTCTGCGATTCCTCGGACCCGCAGCGGGCACACTCTGCAGACCTCCTGACCTCTGCTCCGGGCACCGCAAGTCCTCTCTGTTGGCGCTCCGACTTGCTGCAACGGTCACCCTTCAACGTAACCCTCACGGTGCCCCTGGGGAAGGCTTTTGAGCTGGTCTTCGTGAGCCTGCGCTTCTGCTCGGCTCCCCCAACCTCCGTGGCCCTGCTTAAGTCGCAGGACCATGGCCGTAGCTGGGTCCCCCTGGGCTTCTTCTCCTCCAGCTGTAGCCTGGACTATGGCCGTCCGCCTGCTCCTGTTGATGGCCCTGCTGGTCCAGGGCCAGAAGCCCTCTGCTTCCCAGCCCCCCAGGCCCAGCCTGATGGTGGAGGCCTTCTGGCCTTCAGTGTGCAGGATGGCAGCCCGCAGGGCCTGGATCTGGACAACAGTCCCGTGCTCCAAGACTGGGTGACTGCCACAGATATTCGCATATTACTCACAAGGCCTGCCACACTGGGGGACATGAAGGACCGGGAGGTCACAGTCCCTTATTCCTACTCAGCCACTGAGCTCCAGGTGGGAGGTCGATGCAAATGCAATGGGCATGCCTCACGGTGTCTGTTGGACAGCCATGGCCACCTGATCTGCGACTGCCAGCATGGTACAGAGGGCCCTGATTGCAGCCGCTGCAAGCCCTTCTACTGTGACAGGCCATGGCAGCGGGCTACAGGGCAGGAAGCCCACGCTTGCCTTGGTGAGGCCTTGGAGGGTAGCCTGGGGACTTCTGACCAGGCAGGGCTGCCCCTGACTGATCCCTCCCTGCAGCTTGCTCCTGCAATGGCCATGCCCGGAGATGCCGCTTCAACATGGAGCTGTACCGACTGTCCGGGCGCCGCAGTGGGGGTGTGTGCCTCAATTGCCGGCACAATACTGCTGGTCGCCACTGTCACTACTGCCGGGAGGGCTTCTATCGCGACCCAGGCCGTGTCCTGAGTGACCGCCGTGCCTGCAGAGGTGAGCCTATCCCCCGCATGCCTTCATGTTTTACTTCCCCAGAACCCCGACGCACTCCTGAACCAGTCCCTCATTTCTATCCTCAGCTTGTGACTGCCATCCAGTTGGTGCTGCTGGCAAAACCTGTAACCAGACCACAGGCCAGTGTCCCTGTAAGGATGGTGTTACTGGCCTCACCTGTAACCGCTGTGCCCCAGGCTTCCAGCAGAGTCGGTCTCCTGTGGCACCCTGTGTTAGTGAGTGACCCTCCCCTGTCTCAGTCACCTCAGCCAAAGCAATCAACTACTGTTGTCTGTCTATCCCCTGAGCCCTTCAGATGCCCCTATTATAGACTATTCTCCCACACTCCTTAGAAACCCCTGTCCCTGGACCCACTGAAGAAAGCAGTCCTGTGGAGCCACAGGGTGAGTGGACGCCGGAGTCCCAAACTGGTATGATCTTGGAGAAGGGGGCTATAGGAGACCAGTATGGGGGAGAAGCATGGAACTCCGCTAGCCTCCACTTTTTCCCCCTAGACTGTGAGTCACATTGCAGACCTGTGCGTGGCAGTTATCGAATCAGCCTGAAGAAATTCTGCCGGAAGGACTATGGTAGGCTGCCTCACCTCAGCCCTTCCATCTCGCCCCCCAACTCCTCGACCCTGGCTCTACTTCAAGCCTCATCCTCTCCTCTCCCACTGATGCTGGCTCCGCCCATTCAGCAGCTATGTCTTCAATGTACCTCCCTCTAGTGGGTGACCTCTTTATGTCCTTCCTAAGCCGGGTGGGTATTCTGTGCTTCTCCACACAGTCCCTTCCGGCCCTACCCCGCCTGATTCGCTTTCTCACACCCTCCCCCCCCCCAGCGGTGCAGGTGTCAGTGGGTGCGCGCGGCGAGGCCCGCGGCGCGTGGACACGTTTTCCGGTAGCAGTGCTTGCTGTGTTCCGCAGCGGGGAGGAGCGCGCTCGGCGCGGGAGCAACGCGCTGTGGGTACCAACCCTAGATGCCGCCTGTGGTTGCCCGCGCCTCCTACCCGGCCGCCGTTACTTGCTGCTGGGGGGCGGGCCCGGGGCTGCAACTGGAAGCACAGCGGGTCGGGGACCCGGGCTCAGCGCAGCCCGTGGAAGCCTCGTGCTGCCTTGGAGAGACGCCTGGACTCGGCGCCTCCGGAGGATGCAGAGGCGCGAGCGGCGGGGGCGCTGCGGGACCGCCTGAACCTGTGAGCTGGGCGTGGACAGGGCGGACACTGCTCTTATCTCTGAGCGTGTTCATCAGTGCGTTAGCCTGCTGGAAGTGTCACGTGCGTCGCCATCTAATTTCCCCCTTCCTCCCCATCTCCTCTTTTAATTCTCTGGTGACGCCTCATCCCCAACACAGAGGTATGTGAAGACCCCTAAAAGCTACTAGGAGGCACCCAGGGCAGTCGTCACCCTCAAAGGACCCTGATCTCATCACCCTGGCTGCCTACTACAAGGCGTATCCTGATACCCAGCATCTCTTAAAGGTTGTGAACCGCCCCACTCCCAGGGAATGCTAGGATCCTTCTAGGGTTTGAGCACATCACACGGGTGTGAGTCATCAACTCTTCGATGCTGTGATACACTAGAGTCCTCCGACCTTCCCAAAGCCACTGCTGCCACCATAGACGCCTGTGCGCCGCTGTGGGTGTCGTGGCCCAACCGCACAGTCAGGACAGCGACTTTTCTGCCTCCAACCGAGATCTGCAAAGAGTACTGCGGGCTCCTCTCGTATAAGGATGACTGTCCAACACCGTGGATCTTGTCCCCGTGTCCATTCTGGCCTGCCTCTACCGGTCGCGTATTTGTGTCCCCATCCGCAGCTGCATCTCTGCCTGCTTCCCACCTTTTTCTTGTCCCATTGTCCCCATATCTGGGGCCCATCCAGTTGTCATTCTCTGTAGCATCTTTCTAGTCTTGGCCTCCAAGCTTCTTGGCACAGGTCCCGCCCCTAGCTAGGAGCCCAACACTCTACCGGCTGGATGTCACGAACGGGCAGTTCGGATCCACAAGTAACCGGGCCAGACGGCGACTTCCACGGGCAGCCATCGGGGTTCCAAATGCCCATGACTTTGCCTTATTCCAGGCGCTAGAGCCCCCACCTCTGTAGGCAAACCCCCGTCCCGGAGCGCGGGAACCGCTGTTTGGCTAGCGCATGCTCCCGGCTTGGCCGCCGCCGGGCGCGAGCGCGCATGCCCAGAGCCGGCAGCGCTGAGACGCGGGGCGATCGGGGTGGGCAGCCCGCAAGCGCGTGCTTG